GTACTAATAACTTAGTATGAAGACAAAATTGTAAGCTAGGAACACTTTAATTGTCCACTAATCTTCAGATTTCCTGCTATGTTTTAAAAAACTTTATTTGTGAAAACCTTTAGAGTGACGGACAGCTGGCCGCCTTAGGCGGCTAGTATATTAATAAATTAGTACACAATTTTATATCAACACATAGTTATTTATTATCTTAAATTGTCCAGAATTCATTATTAAATGATTGCACACACGTAAAATATACTCGCATGGAAGTTCAGCTTTTTTGCCTTTTAGTCAATCTCATCCCTGTTTTTTGGGGATTTCGTTTTTAAAGGCGCATTTTTCAGCTGGCGTTTTTAAAAAGTGCTTTTTTTCCCCCTTCAGTGATATCTGGTGGATCCCATGCATTTCATGAAAAATGGGGTGTTTGCTACGTAATCATTCACGCGGACTTCATGTCGTACCCACGTTATGACTTCCGCATGCACGCACACTTGAAACCGAAACCTGAGTGCCCCAATTCGGATGGAGAATATCATATCCTTATGAAATGTTTGTCTTTTTAATTTATTTTAATTTTATTATTGTTTATTTTATTTTACTTCTAACACTTTTTTGATGTAGGGGGTACGGGTACATTTGTTCAGGGTCAAGTTGAATTCACTCGATGATGTGGGAGAGTACTGATTGTTTCGATTTACGTCAGTTTCTTTTTGGGTTTTTCTTAACGCTAAAACTGTTTATAAAAAGTTTTTGTTTTTCAATGATATCACTGATTGAATATGAATTTTTTGAGTGCTTGAAAATTTTTGTAAAGTGCTTGAAAAGTTTTTAAAAAGTGCTTATTTTTGATTCAAAGATTTGGCTACGCACCCTCCGAGATGTGCACAGTAGGCCTTGGCCCTCTATGGGCTGTTGCGCCACTGAGTTTAGTTTAGTTTTAGATACATTTAAAAAAAAAAAAATTCTTTTCTTTTTAGAATCAGGCAAAGTCGGATATTTACTAAACACTTTTGATTTTGTTGAAATGTTTTTTTAAAAAAATTATAATAAAATGTCCACTGATTTCAAAAATACTTCTCTTATTCCTCAGCAGATAGTGCTGAGTATGTTGAGTATAAATAGTTTTAAGTCGAACTGTGATAGGGGGTAGGGCGTTCACCTTCCAATGAGGTGAACCGGGTTCAAAGCCCAGTGATAACTGGTCGATACGAATTCTGCATCCAGCTTTCACCGACCACAGTGCTGACATAAAATATCCTCAGTGTTAGACAGATCCCAGGTTAGAGTCCCCTTGACGCCAGGCTGATCGTAGGAGATTTTCAGGGTCTTTTTTCCCCTGTAACACAAATGACGGTTCGTTTCACCAAAAAAGTCCTCCATTAAAGCTAATTTCTCCCACTACTTGATCCATGAGTTCCCTTGTCTTCCTGATTGGGTTCGAAATTGCAAGTCCACGAAGTTGAACATTAATAGTTGTAAACCCTGAATGCGACTGAAACCTATTTGCACTTGTTTACCTTCGTGTATCAATTGGTCAAATTAAACGATATATAATATAAATTCAACGATTGTATAAATTAGACAATATGTAGCATAAATATGGAATATTTATTATATCAGGTATTACATTAGTATATTATGATAATTCGACCAAATTATTAGACACACTGTAGTGTTTTAATAATTACGTGTTTTGCAAGAGAAATAACATGCAATACTTTTATATTTAATCATACATGTAATGGGTTTTTATAGAGGTGATTTTTCATATACTTCCTATCTGTATTTATTTTTAATGTATTTCATTGCAATGTTAACCAATTGATACACGAACCTAAACAAGTACAAACCGGTTTCAGTCACATAAAAACAATAAAGCAGTATAGTATCACCTGATAATTAAAATTTTACATAGAATTTTGTAGTGCGTCTGATAATTTTGCCCTCTAATGTATGTTACGCAATAAACATTTACTAAATATGCAATGCACTTTAAATTAATTTAAGTAAAATTAATGTTAACAACTCAAAAACACTCATACAGACTCAAAATGTTATAACTGCTTTAAATCTTTCGCAAAAAGAGCAGGTGAGTCTTAAGATTGAAAGAATGGCTGTTCTTCTTGGATGAAGGGGGAGACTCCTCTCCACATGCAGTAGGATAGATTCTGCTGAAGGGGGTGACAGGTTTTTGGTGACTAATCAATGTAGACATTTGACGAATCGGACTTCGCTTTTGTTTTCCTTAAGAAACCAGTCTTGAAACATTTGTCTATTTTAATATTTTACGGGCAATCGATAGAAAATTCGAATTATTCACAATTTTTAATTGTTATTCAGAATTAAGATCTAATAATTTTTTTTTTTTTTTGCTATCCAGAATTTTGAATTGAACTAATTTGAATTTTTTACTTAAAGTGTGTAATATTTATTTATTTTTAAATAAAAACATTAAATGATACTTTGAAAATTACTCTCCTAGTTTCTTGTACATTCTACGAATGTACACTGTGTTCAGCCTAAATCCCAATGGTAAACCCATAGGTCTAGAAGAGAGACTACGTCTATAAGGTATATTACTCAGAGACTAATATATCCCCCATATTACTCCCGTGTAAACCTGTTTCATCTATTCAATCAACAGCATGTTAAAAGCACAGCTGTATCATTGTAGTTTCTGCCGTATTATTATTATAAAACAGTGCCAAAATGTAAACAATTTTATTAACTTTTGTTCCGTATTGATCATATTTTCACATACTAGGATTCAATCTTAGTGGTTCGAGAGCCTAACTTTAAATAAGCAAATTGTATTTTTTTAAGTTTTGAAATCGTACTCAAAAACTTACTTTTAATCTTCGAATGAACATCTTTTTTTATGCTACGGATTCGAACTCCAGACTATCAAGCTATGTAAGGGGGCCACAATCTTGGAAAAAAGGGTCTCAATAATTTAGTCGGGAGAGTAGTCGAATGTTTGAACCCCTTAATGTTGATTTTACTTGTGTATTTCGCCATATTTCGGAAATCTATCTTGAATTGAAAAAAAATTTTCAGACATTTGGAAAATTCTTTCAGCTGAAAGTGAAATCCATTCTTTCGTTCACTTAAAATGATAATTTTATTTAATTAATCAAACAGAATTATATTAGAAGCTTATAAATTTTAGCATCATTTTAAATTATATCATCTATAGTGTATTTAAAATTTGATTTCTCAAGTATTATTAGACCGATTTCGTTTGAATTTTGCTACTTAAAATTATGTAAAAATTTGCATGCTTTACAAATCATATTTTATTCGACTAATATTAAATAAAATAATTCATACGTGGACTTATCTTAAACTAAACCATACCTGCCATCTCTACTGGATTTGCCAGTTTCTCCTGGCTACTGGTTTAATAAAAGATATATAGATATTCGCGTACTATTTGGGGGATCTGGAGTACGGGGGGGGGGGAGTATATTTATTCAGGGAAGGTACGTTTCTAATGTCTGAATTTGTAACTTAAAATATCGTCTGCGCAAACTAATTAGCATGTTTAGGGTTATGACGGCGAACTATTAAGGTTGAATCCTAATTCGTGAAAATACGATCATTATATCAAAATCTTTTCAAAGTAGTGGTTTTTTTTTTCCTTCAAATGAACGAATAAAAAATATATTGAATCTTTGAGCCAAATAATTCAACGACAGCAAATACGAAAAGATCACTGTTAAAGTTATTTAGTTTGAATTAAACCCGTTTTCATATGAATTATTCAAAACAAAACACGAGATACATTTTTAAGAAATAAGGATCTGCATTGCATCTTTCAGTTTATTTTCAAAATGTAATAGAAAGAACAAAAACAAAAATTAAACAAAAAATTGGAAGAATAGTTTTAAAAAAAAATACAAGACAATCGGTTTCAAACCAGCTACCATTTGAATATATGACGCGTGTGCTATCTATCCTGTTGTGCTACCCAGACATCAAACCAGCTGCAATCTTTTTCTGGTGTATGCAGTATAAAATCTTTTGAACTTCAAGAAGCATTAAATGGCACGCGAAAATCATTATTCGGAAAGAGTATATGTCAGAATCGTCTGCACTGAGCCAAACGTAAACAATTTTTCGTACTCTACCAACCCAAAGAACCTGACACAAAAAAAAATCTCATAAAGATGAACGTGAACTACAAAAATGCAGCTACAACGTTGAAAGTTGACGTGTGCAGAAAGAGTAATTTTCATTTACGAACCTAACGCGATTTTTTTTTTTTTTCTTCCTGAAATTCTTCTATGTTTCAAAGCTTTTATGCGCTTTTTTTTTTTCGAGAAACTGCTGTTAATCTATTGTAGAAAAATGTATTTCTCTAAAGTTGTTCCCAGATATAAATCATAACATTTCGAAACTTTTAAATATTTGAAAGACTCTAAGAGAAATAAAAAGATTTTTTCGAATTTGAACTGTTACAATGATATAAGAATTATTTATATTAAGAGTAAAATTACTGCTCATTTATTTCCCTTTATTGAGTCACGCAAACTGTATCCCCAAGTTTAAACGTATTTTTTATTTCAAATAAAAATAATTATTTTTCAATTATAGGTATTCATTCATTTCGTGACTTCAAAAATGCATCAGGAATTGTTACGTAATCGATTGAACCTACTATTTGTATAAGTTTGGCATTGTTTTTTAATTTAATTTATTTATTTTTTAATGAAATAAACTGTTGCTTCGTTTTTTTCCCTCGAGATTTAACGTAGGAATATTTTTGAACAAAGTGACTTAAATAATGCATCAGGAATCAGTACGTAATTGGTTGAACTTACTATCCATATATGTTTAGGATTGTTCTTTGAATAAAATGAACTGAATCTTTTTTCCCCCTCCAAAGAATAAACAAGTGAGCGTTTTAAAATAAAGATTTAAAAAATGCATCAGGTTTTAATATGTTATCAGATGAACTTATTATATGTAAGGTATATTTTTTTCTAATTTAAAATCTTTGTCCTTTGGATGAAACTTACTGTTTTTAAAGCAATAACGCTTGAGCATTTTAAAACATAGTAACTTTTATAGAATGCAAAAATAATTGATGCGTATCGGTTGGACATTCAAGTAGTAAATGGTTTAATAACATTTTCTGGTTAAAAACCACTGAAAAAAATTCCCTGAACCTTACGAGAACCTTATGAGACATTGTTTTTCAACAATGTCTCATAAATTGTATGGAATTAAAAAAAACTTTCGCATAAATATTTTATGAGGATAAACTGAATGAAGAACTTTGCATGGTGCGTAGCGTTTTTTAAAGGTGCTTATTTTCATTTTTTAAAAGCTCTTTTTCATTGGGTGTTTTTAAAAAGTGCTTGATACTCCCGTTTTGAAAAAGATTTTTTTCGTTACCATGTCGATTTTGCAAAAGCGTGGTTTTCACATTGTTCTATTCAACGTTTTCACAATTCATTCAACCACAATCTATTTCGGCATATCGTCGGTCCATAGCGTATGAAAGCAGCAATCAATTTACATGTTTTATGAAGTACTTCCGCCTCCGCATGTGCGTCTCCTGAGCTGATTTCGGTGAGATTCCAGCACCCTCGTGTGTAACTGTTAGATATTCTCATTTTCAGGCTTGATTTTCCACCTTCTGCTATCGAACCGAAAAATCTCTCTTATCTTTTTATGGTGGCTAATATAATCAAGAAAAGAGTTCTTTGTCAGAAACTAGATATTTTATAATGATAATGTAAAGTCTGAAAATTATTTTGTTTATGTATATAGTGCTTAAAAGGTACTTATTTTTTGTTGAAAGATTTGGCTACTCATCCTTCTTTACTTAAAACACAAACGAGGGGTAAATATTTAGAGTGGTGACTGGTGTCACGTAAGGCTGTTGAAAATTTTAAAAGTTTTAATTTTCATTTAAAATTTCAGGAATAACTTGGTCAGTTTCTTTGGTCTTTTATTCACAAATACACTTAATTAGTAAGAGCAGTCCGTTTTTTCAATCTTTCTCTGACACTTTTTCAAATTTTTACCATTGTAATTCAAACATCAACAAAACGCTCTTTACAAAAACAAAAAAAAGCATGTTGTTATATTACTTTGTAAGTACATTACTTTAATATTACTTGTAATTCATGCTATAATACAATCAGCCATTTTCTTATAACAAGTTGAGGCTTAAGGCAAAAGTTTTTTTATTATATTGATAGAATAAGCAAATAAAGAAAAAGTGATGTGCTGCAATAAAAAAAAACATATAGATATGATCAAAAGATAAAAAAGAAAAAAAAATGGAATATTTGAGCTCACGTAACCCATTCAGTTGTCCTTGCCCACTACCAACATTCAAACCTGTTTTCACTCTTTCCTCTATTCAACCGAATATTAGCCCCGTGATCTTCATAACACTTTTCCTTTCATACATAAAAACAAGACGCCATGGAAAGCAGCAAAGGCAATGGTAAGTTGCTCTTTACCCGATATTTCGCACACATTCTAAGATAATGTCTCCAATAATGAAATGCATTGAAATCTTACGTTAAGAAATGTGTTGAAATTCGGTTTAAAATTTAAACTTTGACTCAAATTACTGCAAAAAATGTTTTTCAATGTTAAACTTTTTTAAAAAAAGAAAATGGTTTTGACTTTTTGGTAAAGAAATATATTAAAACACGATTTCAAAAATTCTTCAGTTAAAAAATCTTTGTACCGTATAAATTTTTGCTATAGAATAAGTTGTAATTGAAAAAGTGCATTAGTTATATCCATAGCAACGAATTCTCAAAAATATGAGTTAGAAAAATATTAAAACACGATTTCAAAAATGCTTAAGTTAAAAAAATCATTTGTACCGCGTACACTTTTGCGATAAAATAAGTTGTTATTCAAAAATGCATTAGTTATTTCCATAGCAACAGATTTTCAAAAATTTAAGTTAGAAAAATATAAGCACGATTTCAAAAATGCTTCTGTTAAAAAATCGTTTGTACTGTATTTTTTTGCTATAGAATAAGTTGTTATTTAAAAATGCATTAGTTATTTACATAAAAACGAATTCTCAAAAATGTAAGTTAGAAAAATATTAAAACACGATTTCAAAAATGCTTCTGTTAAAAAAATCGTTTTTACTGTATACATTTTTGCTATAGTATAAGTTGTTATTCAAAAATGCATTAGTTATTTCCATAAAAACGAATTCTCAAAATTATAAATTAGAAAAATATTAAATCGCGATTAAATAAAATCGTTTCTACCGTATGAAGTTTTGCTATAGAATAAGTTGTTATTCAAAAATGCATTAGATTTTTAAAATCATTCATAAAATTATTAGCTCAAAAAATTATAATTTCGTTCTAGCTTTAAAGTTTAAATTTTATGATAAAACATAACACATATCATCGTAGCTCATTTTAAGTAACAATTTTCTCTTATAGCGTCGATTAAATTATTAAAGTAATAATTTGAAAGAATATTGCACTTATTATAGGCTATAATATTAACAGGTAAAATATTAAAACACGATTTCAAAAATGCTTCGGTTAAAAAATCGTTTGTATCGTATACATTTTTGCTATAGAATAAGCTGTTATACAAAAACGCGTTAGTTATTTCTATAACAACGAATTCTCAAATTATAAGTTAGAAAAAGACTTTTAAAATCATTCATAAAATTATTTGTTTAAAAAATTATAATTTTCGCTTTAAAGTTTACATTTTATAAAACAAAACGCATATCGTAGATCTTTTTGTGTAACAATTTTCTCTCATAGCGTCGATTATATTATTAGAATAATAATTTGCAAAAATACCATACTGATTAAATAAAAACAGATAAAATGTTAAAACACGATTTCAAAAATTCTTCTGTTAAAAATCGTTTGTACCGTATATATTTTTGCTGTAGAATAAGTTGTTATTCAAAAATTAGTTATTTCCATAACAATGAATTCTCATAATTGTAAGTTAGAGAAAAAAAGTGTCTAAAATCATTTATAAAACTATTTGCTTAAAAAATTATAATTTTGCTCTAGTTTTAAAGTATAAATTTAATGATAAAACAAAGCACATATTGTAGCTCTTTTTGTGTAACAATTTTCCATTACAGTATCGATTAAATTATTAGAATAATAATTTGAAAAAATATCGTACAGAAATATTCAAGAATTTATACTGTAAAAGTCATCTGAACTTGGTCTTAAACATCGCTCATATTAAGAACATTATATGACTTGCTAAGTGATCATTAAATATTGTTACTTTCTGATGAAATAATTGATGCACGGGACCGATCACTCCTGGTAGCAAAATTTTTTTTTGGCTAAACTTCAACAGTATGCAGCTGCAGTAAAAACTTTGTTTGCAGCCCTTGCGCTGACAAAAGATGTTTTTGTAAAAGTTTGATTAAACTTACAAGCTCTAAAGATTGATAAAAATTATACAGAACAGAAATTTACTCTTTTTCACATTACTTAAAAAATAGTGGACTAAATGTCATTTACAAAGTAAAAACCCTTAACCAAATGACCAAAATTTTAAAGAAATTAGTGAAAATAAAATGAAAAATGTTTTTTTTTTCCATTATTTTTCTACATTTTTCTCTGTAGCATTCTAGCCATTATTTCTGTTTTTTATGAAAAATTTTATACGATGAAAAATAATCTACAGCTGCTTAAGATGATTTGTAGCGCCAAAGTTTCTGCAACCGAGCTTAATTCAGGGAACATTAAATAAGTTAGAGATTGAGTACTTTTACGAATCGATTTTTTTTTCTACATACTTATCTGTCAGCAATTTTAAATGTTACAGACCCTACTTATCAGAAGAAAAATAATCTAAAGCAGCTTAAGATGATTTGTAGCTCCTACTGTTACAAAAAATCTGCAACTAAGCTTTAAATATAATTCAGGGAACATTAAATAAGTTAGAGATCGAGTACTTTTACGAATCGATTTTTTTTCTACATACTTACCTGTCAGCAATTTTAAATGTTACAGACCCTACTTATCAGAAGAAAAATTAATCTAAAGCTGCTTAAGATGATTTGTAGCTCCCACTGTTACAAAAATTCTGCAACTAAGCTTTAAATATAATTCAGGGAACATTAAATAAGTTAGAGATCGAGTACTTTTACGAATCGATTTTTTTTCTGCATACTTATCTGTCAGCAATTTTAAATGTTACAGATTCCACTTATCAGAAGAAAAATTAATCTAGAGCTGCTTAAGATGATTTGTAGCTCCCACTGTTACAAAAATTCTGCAACTAAGCTTTAAATATAATTCAGGGAACATTAAATAAGTTAGAGATCGAGTACTTTCACTAATCGATTTTTTTTTCTATAAACTTAACCGTCAATAATGTTAAATGTTACAGAACTACTTAATACGTTGCACAACTAATTATAAGATGAAAAATAATCTTACGAAGATTTGTAGCGCCCGCTGCTGCAAAGTTTCTGCAAACAAGCTTTAAATATCTTTCTGGGAACTTCAAATAAATTAGTGATCGAGTACATTTATTAATCGATTTTATTTTTACGGACTTAACCGTCAGCAATTTTAAACGTCACAGAACGACAAAACTACATCTCTTACGAGTAGGAATCTAGAATTATCTTAAGGATTCAAATTAAAACAATGATTGAACAGCTTGTTTAATCAGAGGTAATCTGCACAGATAAATTCTTCAAGTAATTAAAAGTTCTAGGCTTTAATTTTACTTTTATTCATCAAATACCTATAAACTATAAATCAATTATAATGAATCAATAGTTGAAAAGAGTGATCCATACATAATCGTCTACTTTCTAAAGATGGTCATAGCTTTTGAATATTTTGCAAATTAGCATACGGGCCAATAGAATAATTTTTCCTGACTGTCCTAGTCGGAAATTAAGGAAGACGGGGTGCCATCTATGGCCGAGAATTCGACTTCTGGCACACCCATTTATAGGGTAGACCCATTCATTCATTCATCCAGAGCTCGAAATTTTGACCTGAACCAGAGAACGACCAATTTTCAATTCAGTACTTCCAGAAGTATAATTTGTAATGGGATCGTGGAGTACTTTGTGACCCAACAGATTTAACGCGCACCAGTCACCATTCTTCGGCCTGCTGGATTCGACCTCCGGTCTCACGAACATAAGTCCAGCGCCATGCCAACCTGGCTATCCCGGCCAATTATTCCCGGTGAAAACCATTTTACACTGAGCTGTGCTAAAAACATAATTTAATATGGGCTAAAACCTTCTAAGATTTATATAGCTAGTAAGCTTCGCATCCTGATCGCGCCGTTCAGTATCCCCCATGATTGCTTCTCATTTTTTTTAAAAATCTAAAGGAAAATGGTCCTTTTAGTATGTCAAATTTCAAATCTGTAATTGTATTTCAGTGGGCTGCAGAGCTACCCGCACATCATCATTTACTATTTTTATAACAATTTATAATTCGCAAATCGAATCTTAATCTTTTTTCATTCTATTGTACTCTTTGTGCATTTTTCCACATCCTTTTGCAATTTTAAAGTCTTATAGTTTTTGCCGCAGAACAAAATACGACTTAAAGTTACGTAAAGAAAAAAGAAATAAGTGGGAAAAAATTTACGAAAGAGGCACTTAAAATTCCATTTACTATCGAACTAATTATAATTTTGAGAAGAAAAACAACTAGTGTTGTTAAGTTCTTAAAATGAAATGCCCCTATTAAAACGTTAAATTTCAACTCTCTAGTTGCATTTCTGCGACTATTCATCACGCAGAATTCGACGTAAAGCAATCCGTCGCGAGCATAATTCGTCGCAACGACAGTTCATCGTAAACCCAACTCGTCGCAAACAGAATTTATCGTGAGCACAACTCGTCGGAAGCACAATAAATAGCGAGCACAATTCATTATGGGTAAAATTCATCGCGGTTACAACTCCTCGCAGGCACAATTTGTCGCGAGCACAATTTCGTTCAATTTCGATGAAATACATCTTATTCCAGTTACAACAATAAAAAAGGTTTTCTTCAGAAAAATTAATGCTAAAAAAAAATGTTTTTTTTTTTTGTTATNTTTTTTTTTTTTTTGATACCTGAAAACTTTTTTTTCTCTCCTCTGTATGCTTCTCCTTTTTTTGAGGGAAATGGAGATGATTTGAGGGGGAGGGGGGGGGAATTGAATCGCATATAAACATTCAATTGAATTATTGTTTCCTATGCAACTTTTAACATGAACTGAATGGAATAAATCTTGATAGTATCAGATGATTAATTTAAAAAATATAAGGGCTTCACGTAGAGAAAGTACAAATTTGTACTTGCTCATAATCACGCAGTTGAGTTTGCCATCTAAACAAGTACCTTGTTTCTTAGGTAGGATTTTAAGTTTAATGCCAGGAGACTATACAAAAGTCAACAGAATGAATGGTTTAAAAGCTGAAAAGCACTTTATGTCTTAAAATACTTCTATTGATATG